TTTTATGGGTATGCTAATATTGGCAGCCAACAATAGAGGAGTCACCAAAAGGACTATTATTATTATTATTTATTAAAAAAATCATGTGAAAGGGACTATTATTATTTTTATTATTGATGAGCTCTATTTCTTTCTTTTTTTTTTTTTATTTGCAGTTTTTGGCCAGGGCTGGGTTTGAACCTGCCACCTCCGGCATATGGGTCCAGGGCCCTACTCCTTTGAGCCACAGGCGCCGCCTTCTATTTCTTCTTTTGTTTTTAAGACAGAGTCTCACTCTGTTGCCCTGGGTAGAGTGACATGGCATCACAGCTCACAGCAACCTTCAACTCTTGGGTTCAAGTGATTCTCTTGCCTCAGCCTCCTGAGTAGCTGGGACTACAGGTGCCTGGCATCATACCCGGCTGGATTTTTCTATTTCTAGTAGAGATGGGGTCTCGCTTTTGTTCAGGCTGGTCTTGAACTGTGAGCTCAAGAGATCCACCCACTGTGGCCTCCCAGAGTGCTAGGATTACAGGCGTGGGATGCCGTGCTTGGCCCAATATTGGATCTAAAATGACAGATCCATTAGTAAAAAACCCCAGGGACACATTAGTGCTCTCCAGATCTTTCTTCAGGAGATTCCAAACTTGCCCTCATGTAACGAGTTCCTGCGTTTTCATTTAGCCTGACCTCAATCTAAGCTTGCGAGGTAGATTTTAGACTCAAAGGAGTAGGAGGAGAGGAGAGGAACAGCAACAACTTACCCAAACAAAGCGAAAAACAAGGCAAAGCAAAACAAAACAAAACTCAAGAAAAGGGAGGAACAAGCAATGCAGAAGAACAATCAGAAAACAGGATTATTGTCTTCAAAATAATTATAGTTTAATAGCTTTTCTATGTTAAAAAAATAAAAGGGCATACAGCCTGGTTGTATAGTGGGATTTTTGTCTTTTCTTCCCTTAAGTCAAGAGATTAAAGGGAAAAACCAAAAGGAAAAGACAACTATGGTTGGTTAAAGTGGATGCCACGTGCTCTCTTGTGGTCATTTTACCAAATCATGCATCGTAATAGACTGTGACTCACTGCCCACAGTAGGAGATGAAACAGCAGCAGAAACAGAAGAGCTGGGGGAAGATTTGACTGGTGCAACTGCTACAAAGGATGAGCTAGGAACAATTTTTACATCAAGGTGATGAGCCATGTTCTGTCGCCTTATGACTCCCTTAAGAGAGGCTCCCGACTGGAATGTGTTAACTACGTCGATCTGCAAAGAATCAGAGAGTGAGACAGCTTTGCTCCATAGTTAGAGAGAAGGAAAGATAGAGGAGGGGAGAGTCTTAAGAGGGTTTGGGAAGGGGGATACAAGTAGCTGGGAAAAGGGGATAGGAGGTAGAAAACAAGCCAGGTAGAAAACAAGAGAGATTCCCTCACACACAAAGCAGTGGTGAGGAGAAGGGAGAAAAAAACCGTTAATTGCATATCACACTTCATTTAGGGAACAATTTGCCATGGAGTCCCAACACCCAGCCAAAATCCAGTTTTCTCTTCCCATTTAACCTGTGGGGGGTGTTTACGGGGTACAGGAGTCTAAGAATATTTAAAAGTTAAAAGGACTTCTCTTCTTCATCACTTCTAACAGCTAGACAGTGAGTAGCAGCTTATTCCTGGTTTTGACCTGGACTCTGAAAACGTCTTATGTGTTTAAAGAAAAAAACAGGGGCAGTGTAGTATGGGTAGTCATGAAGGCCCCCGGACCATGAGTTGCTGGGCTCATCCTCTTTTGGGTATTTTCTCTGAGATACTCTTTCCTTCAGCTGAAGCTAGAGAATGCAGCTCAATGATCTAGTGGCCAGGCCCATTAGAAAGAATGTGGCTAGCCACATTAATGTACTGGAGAGCCTGAAATGTCTGGCAGAAATGCCGAGAATAACTCAGCAATTAGGCTGAGGGAGGAGGAAGAGCTTTTAGCTGGTGGTGATAGTGGGGAGCAGGCAGATCTAAGCCTAAATAAGCAGTCTCTGGTTTTCAATGTGTTTCTTCTCTGGGACAGAGGCAATCAATGCCATTCATCTTCCAGCAATGGTCTGGATCTGGGGCTTCAATCAAATCTGCCACCCTTGTCTCTGACCCCTAAGTAACACGGAACAAATCAAAAGGAAACCCCTTCATCCTTCATGGATCTGGTAGAATAATCTCAGAAATATTCACCTGCCTGCTGCGAAGGGACAATGTATCAGGAATGTAGGAAAGGTGCTGATTCCATTAATCTGACCCCATTTCCCCACAAGCTGACCCTATGCGAGTCAGACAGCTACTCTAATTTATTTATTTACTTATTTGAGACAAAGCCTCAAGCTGTCCTCCTGGGTAGAGTGCCATGGCATCACAGCTTCACAGCAACCTCCAACTCCTGGGCTCAAGCCAGTCTCCTGCCTCAGCCTCCCAAGTAGCTGGGACCACAGGCGTCTGCCACAACGCCTGGCTATTTTTTGGTTGCAGCAGTCATTGTTGTTTGGTGGGCCCGGGCTGGATTCAAACCCACCACCTTAGGTGTATGTGGCTGGCGCCTTAGCCGCTTGAGCCATAGGCGCCAAGACAGCTACTCTTATTTATAAAGATTTCCTGAGAGGCCATGAAATGTTTAGGGTTAATTTCTGGACCCAGATCAAAGTTTGAGCTAAAATGCCACCCCTCCCTCACATGTGGTTTTCAGTTCCTCAGGAACTGAGGAGTCTAACCTGGCAGGAGGGAGGGGTTTACATTTGAGAGGGTTCCAGTTCTTATAAAGTTGCATTCTTGCAAAATCCCAACCTCCACAATGAACTTAGATCTCAGGTTGACCTTCCCAAACAGGGGTGGAGAACCTGCAGGTTTCAGGGCCATAAGTGGCCTTCTAGGTCCTTAAGTACAGCCTCTTGACGGAATCCAAATTTTACAGAACAAATTTATTTATTTATTTATTTACTTATTGCAGCTTTTTGGCTGGGGCTGGGTTTGAACTCGCCACCTCCAGCATATGGGGGCGAGGGGGTGCCCTGCTCCTTGAGCCACAGGCGCTACCCAACAAATTCTTTTATTAATAGGGTTGCGGCAGAGAAAGATGGAAGTTTCTGTTGCCTCCTTTGGTGCTTAAAGATTAACAATCTTGAAATTAGAAGGCCGCAGGTTCCCCACCCCTAAATAGAAAGGGGAAATCCTATCTAGAATTGGATGATAGTTTGGCAGCACCTCCTCCTTCTGAGAATGACAACAAAGATCAACCATTGAGACTGCACAGGAGATTTTGTTAGAATCCTCCTGAGGCTGCAGAATTGATGCCAGGAGTGGGCCTTGGGTACCTGGGATGCACATTAGCACAAGATAGCCTCATCTGCCCACAAAGGCAGATGCACACTAAAATGGTATGGATTTGGTCATCGTGGCACCTTTAACAGATTGCTTTTGGTGCTTAAGTTTAGTAGGCTTTAGTGCTGTTCTGGCTCAAATGTCTCATGTTCCAACAGGGAAAGGTAGTATGCCTAAAGCTATGTAGGCAGCGAGACCAGAGAGGTGTGTAGTCAAGAGAGTGGCAATTGGTACTGGACGGGAAGGAAGACCCAGGAATCTCAGCACCCCCAGGACAGAGGGTTGGCAAGGAGGTACTGGAATGAGGGAATCCTGGCTAGGAAAAAAAAATATTATATAGCAGAAAAGGAAGCAGGTGATCCTAAAAGGGAAGAAAAGCAAAGACAGGTTATTTTGAAAAGAGCAGACCCAAAGGAAAGCACTGGGGGCTCAGAGACGGGAGCCAAAGGCGCCAGGTTCTATGGGCACTTGACAGACTCAGCAGCCTGGAGGAGGGGGTGGAGTAGGGAGTGGGCATGGGAACTCTGGATGCCACAAGGCACTTTGTGCAGGTCCTGCTGGCATTTTCCTTTCTGGGTGGAGGAACTTGAGAGAGGGCAAAGGAACCCCAGTGTTCCCCTACCTGTCCCTTCTTTCCCAGCTATTGTCCTGCTCCTGGGAGATAAGTTCCTACCAGCTATATAGTTTAGAATATTCATTTTATCTATCTTACCCATACACTAAGGAGGTGGGGTTGACTGGGGAACTTTCTAAACTGTCTACAAGGCTGATTTTAGAGAGTAAAACTTATTTTTGGGATCTCTAGCTGATAAACAGAGAGAAACAGGCCTGTTCTCTGGAGACCATCCTTAAGGCCTTGGAATTTACAGGTTCTTAAGCTGGGGAATCTCAGGAGTAAAACAATAAAGGCATGGGGGTTTAGAGCAGGGAAAGATGGGATTATCAGGGCCTAGGCCAGCCCATTCACTCAGGAGGAGGTATTTATAACTGATGCATGGGAAGTGGGGAAAAAAGGAGTTACTGTAGGGCTGTAGGCAGGGGACATAGAGTGGCAGGAGAAGCTTCTATCCCATTTCAGAAATCCAGTGAAGGAAAAGGTCTGAAGAAATTATAGCTTCTTCCTTATTAGAAAACAAGTCTGAACCTGTAAGAGGCACTAAGGCATTTAGAGACTATCACTACATACACCAAACCATCAGATTCCCCACCATGGCCTTCAGTTTTGAGTGGGGAAGATATAGATAACCTCTGTTACCATAATGGCAGGGTGAGGACAGTAAGTGTCTGCTGGGGATGTTGGCATGGAGATATTATCTAACTCCTTCCTTCTGAAGGGTAGGGAAAGACTAAGAATATGAACTCACTTTGGGGCAGGATCTAGTGTTTGCAAGATACCTGATGCAGGAAGCTTGCCCACCTGACAGAAGGGAGGAGAGTGGGCTTCAGAGCCAACACAAAGCTCAAGGGCTGTGCTAAGAGCGTACGTGGCCTAGCTACTTTGGCTATTCTTCTCAGAGGTGCCCACATAGATACCTCTGCTCTCTGTGTCCTGAAGCCAGGGAGCTGGACTGCCCATTCCATCAGGAGTAAACCCTTAGGAGGAGAGATGCTGGCCACCAAGATCTGCCTCCCTCCCAACACTTCCCTAGGGGGAAAATAGGCAACTCTCTGAGTACCTGAGTCTGGATACGGTTCAGGCCTCGGAACCAGAGGATCTGGCCTCGGCGCAGCTCCATCTCTGCGTGGTCAATCTCATCCAGCCCCTCAGCATCCTTGTTGATTTCCTCTTTGGCAGTGCCATGCCCAGCCTCCTTCAGGAACTTCAGGGATTGGGTAGGTATTGCAGAGATGACCTGAGAACAGGTGCAGTGAAGGGGGAGACATCAGAATCAGGGTGGAAGAGCTGTCAGCCAACTTGCATGGGCCAGGCCCTTGGGCAGGCTACTCTTTACCCTATCACTCTTCCCACTGGGAGAAGCACCAATTCCTTCAGACAAGTATTTGCCAAGGGCCCGCCAACTGCCCGGCTCTCAGAAGGTTCTTATATTTACAGACATACAAAAGAGAGCTTATATTCTAGGTATCTACCAGCCATCTGCCTAGTTATCTACTTTATTTTCCTCTTTCTGTCTTACTTCTTCCTTCTCCATTTTGCTGTCTGTCTTTTAGGAGAAACGTAACTATAATGTATGGTCCACAGTAGGAAAAGACAGAGACCAGGACCTGGGGGGAAACAAATCTGGAGAGAAGATGGTCCCACTGCACATATATGGGCAAGAGCTAGAGAAGGATATTGGAAGTGAATGACTCCCTTCTTAGTTACCGCAAGCACAATAGTAAAAAATGTAGTGAAAGTGTACTAAAAGTTTTCTTGGGCTTTGAATGAGGAAGGGGGTGGGACTGTCCATAGGAGAAGGGACACATGAGTATTACCAGAAGATATGGAGCAGTAGGTCGGGCTTTAAATTAAAAATAAATCACTTGATGAGTTCAGTCAGTTCTCTACAAACAAGGTGAGGAGTAGGCAGGGCTCAGATGGGAAAGAGGAAATATGGGCTGTCTAACATACAGCCAGGTGATCTGAATGGGAAGAATATCAAAGCTCTGCTTTTCTTGTTTTTTTTTTTTTTTTTTTTTTTTTTTGAGGCAGAGTTTCACTTTGTTGCCCTTGGTAGAGTGCCATGGTGTCACACAGCTCACAGCAACCTCCAACTCCTGAGCTTAAGCGATTCTCTTGATTCTCTTGCCTCCCAAGTAGCTAGAACTACAGGTGCCCACCACAAAGCCCAGGTATTTTTTGGTTGCAGTTCGGCCAGGGCCGGGCCGCCACCCTTGGTATATGGGGCTGGTGCCCTACTCACTGAGCCACAGGCACTATCCCTGCTTTTCTTGTTTTTTTTAAAGACACAGTCTCACTTTGTCACCCTCTGTAGAGTACTATGGCATCATAGCTCACAGCAACCTCAAACTCTTGGGCTCAAGTGATTCTCTCACCTCAGCCTCCTGAGTAGCTGGGACTACAGGCACCCACCACAATGCCCAGCTATTTTTTAGAGATGGGGTCTCACTCTAGCTCAGGCTGGTCTCGAACTTGTGAGTCTAGGTAATCCGCCCACCTTGGCCTCCCAGAGTGCTGGGACTACAGGCGTGAGCTACCGCACCTGGCAAAGCTCTGCTTCTGGATGTTGGAAGAAGCAGTTGGGATATGGAAGGAAGGCTGTATTCTAGCATCAAAGCCACATGGCCACATGTGAGACCAGACCCAGGAGAGTCTCAAATAATAGGTGAAATGACCAAGATTTACCCACATATAAAGCTCTTTAGGAACTCACTGGTAAATAAACCTCAGTAAACAGAATAGGGTAGAGGGAATCAGGTTAGAAATTAATTGGGGTTGGCCTGGCACCTGTAGCTCAGTGGCTAGGGTGCCAGCCACATACACCAGGGCTGGAGGGTTCGAACCCAGCCTGGGCCTGCCAAACAACGACAACTAAAAACAAAAAAACAGCTGGACATTGTGGCATGCACCTATAGTCCCAGCTACTTGGGAGGCTGAGGCAAGAGAATCACTAAGCCCAAGAGTTTGAGGTTGCTGTGAACATGTGTACTATGGCATCAGCCATAGTACTCTACAGAGGGCTACACAGTGAGACTCTGTCTTCAAGAAAAGAAATTAATCAGCCAGGCATCTAGGAGGTATAAAGAAACAATCACTTGGCTTGGGAGGAGCCCTGAAGCTCCAGAAAGGGCTCTTTGGAGTCAGTTAGGGCAAAGCCTCCATTCCCCAGGGGGCTAGGAATTAGGTGATTATGTGCAGGGACTTGGGTCTGCAAAGAGCAGCACAGCCTAGCCCAGAGCTGAAGATGAGGGGGATGTGTAAAGTGGCATTAGGGAAAACATAAATCTCTTACCAGTCCTAATGATATTAGTAGCCAATATTTCTTGAGTTCTTATAAGGTACTAGACACTATTCTGAGTTTTTTATGTAGAGTAACCAGTTTAATGATTAACAATGACTCTGTTATCCTAAGTTGAGGATGATGAAGTATACAGGGTTAAGTAACTGTCCCAAAGTGAGTCAGCTTGAAAAAGGAAAGCTGGATTCAAACTCATACAGCCAGTCCCAGAATCCATGCTCTGAACCTATGCCATACTGCTTCTCTAGACTGTAAATCTGACTTATCTCAGCTGAGTTATGCATTCTTTTCTCTTTTTTTTTTGAGACAGAGTTTCACTTTGTCACCCTCGGTAGAGTGCCATGGCATCATAGCTCACAGCAACCTCAAATTCTTGGGCTCAAGTGATTCTTGTTTCAGACTCCTAAGTAGCTAGGACTACAGGCACTTGCCACAATGCCCAGCTATTATTAGAGATGGGGTCTTGCTCTTGCTTAGACTGGTCTCAAACCCATGAGCTCAGGCAATCCAACTGCCTTAGCCTCCCAGAGTGCTGGGATTACAGGCGTGAGCCATCATGCTGGGCCAAGTCAGCATTCCACCTATTAAAGCTATGGAGAGAAACAGAAGAGGATGGGGAGCTGCAAATTATGTCCACATGCAGCCCACAGACAGGTTACTGATTCATTAAAATAAGGACTTGTGCTTTGCAAATTCTTCCCTTCTACAACCCTTCAGGTTTTGTTTGTTTTGTTTTTTTTAAGAAAAATTCCTTTAAAAAGTTCTACTCTTGGCTTGGCGCCTGTGGCTCAAGTGGCTAAGGCGCCAGCCACGTACACCCAAGGTGGCGGGTTCAAATCCAGCCTGGGCCCACCAAACAACAATGACGGTTGCAACCAAAAAATAGCCGGGCATTGTGGTGGGCACCTGTGGTCCCAGCTACTTGGGATGCAGAGGCAGGAGACTTGCTTGAGCCCAGGAGTTGGAGGTTGCTGTGAGCTGTGATGCCACAGCACTCTACCCAGGGCGACAGCTTGAGGCTCTGTCTCCAAAAAAAAAAAAAAAGTTCTACTCTTGGGCTGGGCATGGTGGCTCACTCCTGTAATCCTCACACTCTGGGAAGCCAAGGCAGGCAGATTGCCTGAGCTCACAGGTTCAAGAGTAGCCCGAGCCAGAGCGAGATCTCATCTCTAAATAGCCAGGTGTTGTGGCAGGTGTCTGTAGTCCCAGTTATTTGGGGGGCTAAGGCAAGAGAATTGCTTGAGCCCAAGAATTTGAGGTTGCTGTGAGCTATAATGCCATGGCTCTACTGAGGGCCACAGAGTGAAACTCTGTCTCAAAAAAAAAAAGTTCTACTCTTCTCAGGGAAGCTAAGGAATTTCCCTGCCTCCAGGCATAGTTAGAGAGAAAATCTTAAACCTCTGATGTGCGTGGCAGGCTCTGCTCATCCCTTGCAGGATCCTATGGTTGGGAGAAAGGAGAAGATGAAGATGAGGAGCGGGGAGTCTCCATAGCTGCTTGCTCTGTCCCCTGCAGAAGAGAGGGGACCTGCAGGCCATGCAAATGTAGGGGAGGGTGTGCCAGTACTCACCTGACCCCAGATAAGTTCTCCAATTCCGATGAAGAGACACCACAACCACTGGGACAGGTTGAGCTTTGTACAACTGAAGGGTTTACCCCCAAATTCCACAATGAGAATCTAGGACAGAGAAAGGGGGCAGTCTGCCATCAGGGAGGTGACTAACAGGAAAACAGTCCTCCAGCCAATGCCACCAAAGCCATATCATCTCCCCTGCCCCAGGATTCTTGGGGTGGAAGTCTTGATTTGCTTGCTGGGGAAGGGGAAAGAAGAAATCTAAAAAGAGAGGCAGATACAAATAGTCTTTATAGAGTACTCTGACGGGGAGACAGACATAGTTACTATGATTATGATGAATGTAAGATTTGGGGGAGCTAGCGGAGTTGGAGGCTTCTTGTGACTAAAGCCAGTGGGTGACAAAGAGAAGGCACAGCAATGGAGAAGAGGAATTGAGGACAAAGCCAAGTTAAGGGACGGACCCTGCTGCGGGACTAGGGAGGAGCTTGTCTGTTACATAGCAAGCTCAGAATCTCTCGTATCCACAGGTGTTTTAGTGTACCTGTGACCAGGGCAAGAAAGAAGAGGTGCGATCCTTTTACCACCAGGGCAGCTACGTCTTTGACCCTGGTTCCCACAGGAGGAACCCAAGCTGGACTATGTCAACGACATGTTCACCATCCCAATACTTCTCTTTCTCTGTAGCATTGCCCAGCATTTTCTACTATAAGCCCGTTTAGAACAAAGGCGAAGGGACAGGGAGATAGTCCAGACTACACCTACAGACAAGTTTCATGTACGCCAGCAGGAGGCATGGTAAGGGGCTAGTAGAGAGTGACCCTTCTCTTGGTCACTTTGTGAAATTTCTGTGTATTTAGAGAGACAATGAAAAGATTCTACAAGTCTTATTTTATTCACCACCAACATAGTGCCTTGCACTGGGACACAGGCAGACTGGGTTCTGATCCTAGAGCAAGGCACAAATGGAAGCAAATCGGGAACTCTGAAGGGTTCACCTCACAGCGTCAGTCCCCGTTCCTTCCTCACTTCTTTTCCTGGGTACTTAGGGCACAGTGGCTCCCAGCTGCTGGCCTTTATCATCCCAGAAATGCTACCCCAGCTCTGGATAGAATCTCACCTGGCTGATGAATGTGCCCAAAACCACAGTGCAGAAGATGATGTTGTGGTAAATGCCTGAAAAGACATTCTTCTCTCCATGGATCTTTCGGGAGTTGATTTCATTGAAAATTTGCATCAGCACAAAGGTATTGAAAACAATGGTATAGTGTTGGCTGGGGGGTGCATGCAGAGGTGCCTTCCTCCCACTATCGATGTCAAAGAATTTCTCACCTGATAAGGAGAAGAGAAACAGTGGAGAGTAAGCTGGTCTGAACTAGGAGTCAGAACACATTGGTCAGGACATACTGGTTGCTTATGGCTGGTTTCCATTATGATTGGTCAGTATCTGAGCTCTACTAGTTATTAATTCTTTTTAAAGACAGAATCTCACTCTGTTGCCCCAGGCTAGAGTGCTGTAACATCATAGCTCACAGCAACCTCAAACTCCTGGGCTCAAGCAATCCACTTGCCTCAGACTCCTGAGTAGCTGGGACTACAGGTGTGCACTACTATGTCTAGCCAGTTTTTCTATTTTTAGTAGAGACCAGGTCTCTCTCTTGCTCAGGCTGGTCTGAAACTCCTAAACTCAAGCAATCCAGCCACTTCAGCCTCCCAGAGTGCTCAAATTACAGACATAAGCCACTGAGCCTGGCCCAAGTTATTAAATATTTTATTTATTTATTTATTTAGACAGAGTCTCACTTTGTTGCCCTGGGTACCATGGTGTCATAGCTCATAGCAACCTCAAACTCTTGGGCTTAAGTGATTCTCTTGCCTTAGCCTCCAAAGTAGCTGGGACTACAGGTACCCACCATAATACCTGGCCATTTTTTGGTTGTAGTTGTCATTGTTGTTTGGCAGGCCCAAGCTGGGTTCGAACCCACCAGCCCTGGTGTATGTGGCCAGCACCCTAGCCACTGAGCTACAGGAGCTGAGCCTATTATTATTTTTGACATAGAGTCTCACTTTGTCACCCATGGTAGAGTGCTTTGGCATCATAACTCATAGCAACCTCAAACTCCTGGGCTCAAGTGATCCTTTTGCCTCAGCCTCCCAAATAGCTGGGACTATAGGCATCTGCCACAACACCCAGCTATTTTTTAGATAGGGGGTCTCGCTCTTGCTTACGCTGGTCTGGAACTCCTGAGCTCAGGCAATCCACCCACCTTGACCTCCCAGAGAACTAAGATTATACGCATGAGCCACCTTGCCCAGCCCCTAAGTTATTAAATATTTTAAATGTTAGCCCTGGTCTCCCCATCCAACCCTCTGTCTGTTCCATTAAGATGCTTTCGTGCAGTGTAGCATGGTGGTAAGACTATATGCACGGGGGTCAGGCAGACATAAATTTGCATTTTAGCCCAACTATTTACTCATTATGGGACCTGAGCTTCATTTTTTTGATCTATAAAAGTATAAATAATAAGGCCACCATGGTGAAATTCTTAGGAGGAGAACATAAAATAGCACAATGCACCATGTACCAGGAATACAGGAAGCACTCAATAGGTGAAGCTGCTTTTATTCCTAGTCTGTGCTGCCTTCCTTCCTCAGGCCATTCTCTGCCCCCATCTCCATCTAGCTGCTCCAGCTCCACCCCAACTGCTGCCCAACCCTGGCTCACCAGCAAAGACAAGGAAAAAGATGACAGTCAGCTGATAGACTGCATGGCCCAAGATATTCTTCATCATAGTACGTGAGATCAGAGGCTTATTTCGGCCATAGGGGCGACGCTTCAATAGAGAATCTGTAGGGGGCTCTGTGGCCAGGGCCAATGAAGCAAAAGTGTCCATGATTAGATTAACCCACAGCATCTGCACAGCTTTCAATGGGGAATCCTGGTGGGAAGAAGAAGCAGTCCTTTTAGCTTTCCTCAGAAACCACCCCCACCTCTGCATCAGCCCCACGTTGGCTCTGAGGACGGCTTAGCTCCTGCTCTCCAAAGTCCTGCTCACCTAGACTTTGAATTTGGTCACTTTAGGGGAGTGACCTTGAGAAAGTTACTTAATCTCTTTGAGCCTTGGGTTTCTCATCTGCAAAATGGGGATAATAATATCTACCTTGCAAGGCTGACTGGGAAGAGGAGAGACAGTACATACAAGCGCTCATCACAGTGGCTGACACATAAGAGCTAATTGATGGCAGATAAGTTATCGTTCCACATAAGCAGATAGAGACAGTAGACCTGGTAGAGCTGACTCCTGCCCCTAATATTACTGGCCCTCACTCCTCAGCAGATACAATGTACCACCACCCCTGCCTTGTCCCTCCCACGTCAGCTTGCCCACACCCCTTCACCTGAGTGATACAGGCTCCAGTGAAGGCCACAATCACAGCCACGACATTGACAGTGAGCTGAAACTGCAGGAACTTGGAGATGCTGTCATAGACATTTCGTCCCCACATCACCGCCTTCACAATGCTGGTGAAGTTGTCATCTGTTAGGATGATGTCTGAAGCTTCCTTGGCGACATCTGTGCCTGCGATACCCTGAGGTAGGATGGGGAAGGAAGACAGTGTTATGCAGGACAAAAAAGACCTGGTCTATATCCTGACCCCCGATTTCTAGGAAACTTCAGAAGTAGGTATACATATTAGAGGGCATGCTAGCCACCTAAGAAAAGAAAATGAAGAGAAAATGTCTCTGTCACTCTGCAGAAGAGAGCTGGGGGCTGATGCCACTGCCTTACTACTGAACCCAGACTTGGAATTCCAGCCATCTCTGATACCCTTTTCTCCCCGCCTACTACAACCTCTATATTGGAAACGAATTGAAGGGTAGGAAACCAATCCTATCTATTCTACCTCTAAAGTCTTCCATTGCCATTATCCCATTTATACCTTGTCTCCTCCACACCTTTGAGAAACTCTACATTATGCTCTAGAAGCTCTGGCACCATAGTTCAGAGGTTCTATCTTTGTTCAAAATTCTGTCAAAGGGGAACCAATCACTAAAGGTTTCTGAATAGACATCTCACTTTTGGAATAGTGAGCTAAGCCTGGCAGTCATTGCCCTTAATGACAATTTTTTTTGCCCACAATCTACTGATTTATACAAAATCCTCTGAATCTCCTTAGAGTCTAGACTTCCACTCATATCATTTCCCCAAGTCCGAAACATCCTCTTTCCCCATCTATTTAAATCCTATCCATCTTTAGGGCCTCATTGAGTTAAACCCAAATTGCTCTGCAAAACTATCCCTCCCATCCCCAGCCCATATCGCAGTGTATGGCTCTTATGTGGATCCTGATTTGGACAAATAAACTATAAAAACCATGTTTATGGGCTTGGCGCCTGTAGCTTAAGTGGCTGAGGCCCTAGCCACATACACTGGAGCTGGTGGGTTCAAATCCAGCCCAGGCCTGCCAAACAACAATGACAACTTCAACCAAAAAATAGCCAGGTGTTGTGGAGGGCACCTGTAGTCCCAGCTACTTGGGAGGCTGAGGCAAGAGAATCACTTAAGCCTAGGAGTTGGAGGTTGCTGTGAGCTGTGATGCCACGGCACCCTACCCAGGGCAACACTTTGAGGCTCTGTCTCCATAAACAAAACCAAACCAAACCCATGTTTATAAGTCAATTAAGAAAATGTGAACACCAACTAGATACTTCATGAAAGTATGAAAATATCAATTTTGTTATGAGATAATCGTATTATGATTCTTTTAGATATATTTTATGGTACTGAATTATTTTTTTTTAGACAGAGCCTCAAGCTGTCGCCCTGGGTAGAGTGCTGTGGCATTAGAGCTCACAGCAACCTCCAACTCTTGGGCTCAAGCGATTCTCCTGCCTCTGCCTCCCAAGTAGCTGGGACTACAGGCGCCCACCACAATGCCTGGCTATTATTTGGTTGCAGCCGTGGTTGTTTGGTGGGCCCAGGCTGGATTTGAACCTGCCAGCTCAGGTGTACGTGGCTGGCGCCTTAGCCGCTTGAGCCACAGGCACTGAGCCGGTACTGAATTTTTTATGGATGAAATGATATGATTCCTTGCATTTGCTTCAAAATAATTCAGCTGGAGGCTCGGTGCCTATAGCTCAAGTGGCTAGGGCACCAGCCACATACACTGGAGGTGGCAGGTTTGAGCCCAGCGCAGACCTGCCAAACAGCAATGACAACTACAGCCAAAAAATAGCTGGGCATTGTGGCAGGCGCCTATAGTCCCAGCTACTTGGGAGGCTGAGGCAGGAGAATCACTTAAGTCCAAGGAGTTTTGAGGTTGCTGTGAGCTGTGATGCAACAGCACTCTACTAAGGGTGACATAGTGAGACTCTGTCTCAAAAAAAATAATAATAATAATTCAGCTGGAGTTGGGGAGGTCAGTGAGACAAGTGCTGATAATTGTTGAAGCTGAGTGATGGATACCTGTGATTCCTTATACAATTCTGAGTTTGGCAAATTCTCAAAATTTCCTAAATTTCTTTTAAAAAGAGGGTTCCCCAAAGATATATTCCTTCTTAAATATCTTTCCACTGCTTAACAATTACAAACAGTTCAATCATAAGTTATGTAAGCAAGAGGATACAATCTAGGGGGTTCAAAACCTCTCTGAACATCAGAATTAATTGGCATACCTGTTAAAAACACAAATATTTCTGGTCCTCATCTCAGAGCTTACTGAATCAAGCTGGCTAACTATAGAACCTTGGAATATGTAATTCAAATAATTTTCCAAATGATTCTAATGCTCCCAGCCATACAAGTGAAAAGCAGAGCAGTGAACAGTGGTGGCTAGAGTATACATCCCACATGGAACGTGAATTTTCTATAATATCACCATGTTTGTGGATAAAGTTAAGCTGGACTTACTTTTTTTTTTTTGAGACAGGGTCTTACTGTGTCACCCTTGGTAGAGTGCCATGGTGCCAAAGTAGCTGGGACTACAGGCACTTACCATGATGCTTGGCTATTTTTGTTGTTGTTGTTGCAGTTGTCATTGTTGCTTTTGCGGGCCCAGGCAGGGGTTGAACCTGCCAGCCCCGGTGTATGTGGCTGGCACCCTACCCACTGAGCTACGGGCACCGCCCCTGGTCTTGCTTTTCCTGGGTAATAATCCTTCATGATTTCACTGTTTCTGTTATCTATTCTTTGTACTTGATAGGTCCCCAATTACATGTTATCACTGGCCAGGTAGGTTGGAGAGATGGAGTTACCAAAAGCCTGTCCTGGCTTCCTGATGGAGGAGGCAGCTTGCAGGCAGAGGAAGACATTGTGCTGAGCTTACCATGGCAAAACCAACATCTGCTTTCTTCAGAGCAGGCCCATCATTTGTGCCATCACCAGTGACAGCCACCACCTGCCGCTGTTCCCCAATGGTGCTGTCAATGATGCCTGGCGAAAAGAGACACGCAACACAGTGAGCACAGGCGTGCCACCTGGGGCCATTTGAAGGCAGAGACCTGGGGGTGAAACGTACCACTTCCATCCACCAGCTAGTCACTTGAGGAAGTTACTTGTCTTCTCAGCTTCAAACTTCTTTATTTACAAAATGAGAAGAGTTTTGCCTGCTCTGCCTAGTTCAACGTACTACTGGCAAACAAGATATGGTAATGCGTAAAAACAACTTTGTTATATGTCTAGTCAGCAAGGGCGCAGATGTTTGCTAAACTGTATGTTCCCCCACTAGCCTGGGTACTCTCCCAGGACCCCCCTACTCGGACTGGAAAGGTGCTTGAGCTGATGGTTCTTACCTGGCCCACTTTCACCAATCACAGGGACCCACTTGGGAACCAATCTCACCTTTCACCAGTGTATGCTTGTCAGTAGGGGATGATCGTGCCAGGACCCGAAGCTTAGGCCAGACCTTGTCCAGCTGTTCTTGCTCTACCTGTCAACACCAGACCACACCTGGATCAGTCAAACTCAGAATCACGATTCAGGGAAATCTTACTTCTCCACATACTTTGAGCTACGGGGGGATCTAATACTCCATAGCCCCATGGGGGAGTCTTATCCTGGCCTCCAGGGGAGGTGAAACAGCCAACTCAGTCTCCAAGGGTGGATTTGCTAATGGTGATCATTCAGGCCCCTTTCCTTTTCTTTTTCCTCACAGTTCCCTACTTGGGAACGAAGCCTCTATTCTTCTACCCTTAACAGGAGGTGGGCCAGGGTTGTTCATGGTTGGCTCAGGTGGCCAAGTGGCACATCTGAGGTTTTAGGTTTGATTTCTATGTAGATCAGGAATGCTTTGGTCTGCTCCATACTCCCACACGTCCTCTATTAGCCACTGTTACCCAGAGGGTAGTGACATATGAGGAGTGGGGGAGGGGGTAATCATTACAAAATCATCCCATTGCTAAAAAAGCAGAAAGACGTGAAAAGTTGGTGACACCATCTGAAAAGACAAGTTGTGAATGGAGATAGGACGAAGAAAGGCAACTCCCCATTTTACCATCTGAGCAGTTTTGGTACAAAGGGATGTTTCTATGTGAATAAATTTTAGTTTAGAAACCACCCACTTTCTCCCTCATGTGCCAGATGCCTTAAGCTAGTAACGTCTTTCCCTCCTCAAGTGAGGCCCTGGTTCCTCCCACCCAGGACCCACCTCGCCCTTCTCATTGCGGATGAGTCGGTTGAATTCTTTGCCTTCTAAGCACAGGAATTCGTCCCCAGGTGTCAGAATGCCACATTTGATGGCAATGGCCCGGGCTGTGTTGATGTTGTCACCTGTCACCATCCTTACAGTAATGCCAGCTCGTTTGCACTTGGCAATAGCTTCCGGTACCTATGGACAGTGAAGAAAGAGGAAAGGCACAGATGAGGGTGGTGATCCTGGTAAGCTGTCCCTGTTCATCTGTCCCCTTATTGTGGAAAGGAGAGAGGCACCCTCGGAGCAGTGTCATGGGGCATAGGCTAAGTCTGGTCAATCTTCTGTTGCTAGGTGCTGCCTCATTTCTGTCCACCCCTTAACAGTCCCATTTGAATTTACCTTATTATACCATGAATTAAAGGGGGCATTTGCTTCAGGAGTCAGGTATAAATACTTGCTCTTTCACTTATCATCCAGGCTCCTTGGCAAGGCATGGATGGCATTTTGAGACTTGGCCACTGCTTTCTTCTCTAGCAGGAGCTTTTACCACTCTCTGCCCACCTGGCCCATGTTCCAACCATGTCAGCTTTTTGTAGTTTCTCAAACGCGTGACACTGCCTCTTGCCACTGAGCCTCAACAACTGATACTCCATCTGTCTGAACTCCCAGAAGCAGAGACTTTTTTAATCTTCTAGTGTCTAGAATAGTGTCCAGCACACAGCAGGTGCTCAGACAGAATGTGTTGATTGAAAGAGGGCAGTTAAAGACGAAGTTGGTATCCATGTTAATTATGCTGCCCAATTATTATTATTATTATTATTATTAATTTATGTATTTTTTTGAGACAGAGTCTCATTCTATCGCCCTGGGCACCTCAGCAAGTTCAAACTCCTGGGATCAAGAGATCCTCTTGCCTCAGCCTCTCAAGTAGCTGAGAATGTAGGTGCCTGCCAGGATGATGAGCTAATTTTTCTATTTTTTTTTTTTTTTTGAGACAGAGTCTCACTTTGTCACCCTTGGTAGAGTGCTGGGGCATCATAGCTCACACAAATCTCCAACTCTTGGGCTCTAGTGATTCTCTTGCCTCAGCCTCTAGAGTAGCTGGGACTATAAACACCATAATGCCTGGCTGTGAGCTCAGGCTATCCACCTGGCTAGGATTACAGGCATGAGCTATCGCACCAGGCCTAGTTTTTCTATTTTTAGTAGAGATGGGATCTCTCTCTTGCTCCATCAAGCTGGTCTTGAACTCCTGAGCTCAAGCAATCCACCTGCCTCAGCCTCCCAGAGAGCTAAGATAATAGGCCTGACCTCACCCAATTTAACAATAGTTGTCCTAGCTCTCTCTCAAATAATAATACCAACAGAACCTTTGCTTCTCACCACCCTACACAGCATTAACTCTAGGAAGTCTATATTCTATCAATTTGGCATGCCACAGCAGCTCTGAGAATCAGGAAGCAGAGAAATCTCTATTCCTGTCAGTTAGATACATTTAGGTGATTTGCCTGGGGGTCACAACTAGAAAAGGAACTAGTACTCCACTTCCTATGACTATTGGTGGCTTCCTATTAAGTCATAATGGGTCTATGGATAGGCCAGGGGCCAGGGAAGACTGTCATTCATGTTTTCTTGCTCCTTCTTCAAGACAAAGACTCACCTCTGGGCGCACAGGGTCCTCAATGCCCACCACTGCGATGCAGGTCAGTTCAGTGAGGATTTCATTCTCGCTGTCCCAGGAGGGCTCTCCATCCTCAAAATCCCGGTAAGCTAGGCAGATAGTCCGGAGTCCCTCTGAGGCCATGGGCTCAATGACAGTGCGTACCATATCATCTCGGTCTTTGCTCTTGAATGGCATTGCTTCCCCTTTCTGGTCCAGGATCCGGTTACACCTGGAGAGGTGCACAGTCACAAAGCAGTGTCTGCCTTCCCTCTCCACATGTTTCTATAATCATTTATGGACATTTTGGTAATCTGCATTTTTCCTAGACACACTGTACCATGGGCAAACCTCTCCTTTATTCATCTCTTAGCTGAGTCCCTGAGGTGGGGTGGGGGATGGAGTAAGGTGGGGTGGCCTGTGACGGAGTAAGGTCTAGGTAATCAGAGAGTGTGATGCTCCCATGTCATCTGTTCTTATTCATGTATGAGTGCAATGGTGAGTTATTTGTGGATCACCTGCTCTCTTAAATTTCTTGAGAGTAGAGACTTTTTCAACCCCTAGTTTTTAGAATAGCACTTGGTGCATGGTAGAGGGGGCTGCTCAACAAGAATGTGTTGATTAAAAGATGACAACTAAAGGCAAATTGGGGCACTGGTTAATTTAGCCCTTCTGGCTCTATACCCGAGTAGGGAAAACTTTTAATGATCTATGGATGACCTAACCATTATTTTTAAGTTATGTAATTTCCCTCTAATCAGAATTGGGAATAGGAAAGAAGGGAGAACACCAAACTAACATTTCCAGTGCTTGCTATGTTCCAGGCATTTCATATACACTGAGTCATTTAATCATAGTGAGCTGTGTAGCAGTCCTGTGAGCTGGCTGAGTTAAATTACCACCTCTGTTTTCAGAGTAGGGAATGGAAGTTCAGACAGTCTAAGCCTGAGTCCTGGCTGTGCTACTACTAGCTATATCCCCTTGTGCAAATAACTTAACTAGCTGGTATTTCTGTTTTCTCATCTGTTAAACAGGGATAGTAAGAGTGCTCTCCTCCCTGAGTTGATTAAATAAAATCAGCCACCTAAAGTACTTAAATACAATGCTTGGCCTTAGGAAATGCTCAGATATTAGTTATGTCACCACCCGGCTGGAAGGCTTGCCTTCCACTCACATCGGTTCAGTATGGGGCGTGTCACCCAGATCTTTCTGAGAGGAAGGAGGATCCTAAAGGGGAGAAGCAGGGATGGGTGCTCACTTGCGCAAAATGATCTCGGAGGCGCCCTTGCTGAACATTCGGAAGCCACCAGTGGGGCTCCGGATGACCGTGCTCATTGACTTGCGCACCGAATTGAAGGTGTACACTTTGTAGAACTTCTCCTCGGGCACCTCATTACGCACTGCCTGGTAATCCTGCTTCAGATCCGTGACAAAGCCCAGCAGAGCACACTCAGTCTTGTTGCCCACCTGCCTCGGCAGGCCTCCCTCCTTCTCTGGAGGCTGACAGAAAAAACACACAGGACAATTGAGTAAGATGCCTTGACCAAGGAGATAACTTAGGAAGGGAAGAATTCACTTAGAAAACTTTCTCATACGCCCAGAGCCCATGAAGGAAACAAAGTTTGTGTTTCAATTCTTTTTCCTTTAATTTAAAACATTTTTATGTTTAGAAATAGGGTCTTGTGCTCTGTTTGTGCAGGCTGGAGTGCAGTGGTGCAAACACAGCTCACTGTAATGTTGAAACCCTAGGCTCCAGTGATCCTCCTGCCTCAGCGTCCCGAGTAGTTGGGATTTCAGGTACCACCACTCCTGACTAATTGTTTTCATTTTTAAGAGATGGGGGCCCAACAAGGTGCCCAAGCCAAGCCCAAAACCCCGGGCCTAAATGATTTCCCCATCTCAGCTTTCTGAGTTGCTGGGATTACAGGTGTTAGTCACTGTGTGCAGCTGTTTTTTGCTTTTTTCAAGAGTAGGCAGACAGAGGTCAGTGGTGACCATGATCCCAAGCCTTCCAAGGGTTAGGAGTTTGTACTTTGTGGTAGTACTAGTGTTTCCCCCTGCTTGAGTCTTATTCTAATACCCTCTCCTTATTTCTGGAAAGTGAGTGATTTACTCCAGATAAGTTCAATTCTACTACCAGCAAGAGCTTCCTTGGAGATATTGTCTTTTCCTGCCTATAGACTTCTGTAGGCTCTTGCCTCCAACCCTCCATCTACTCCCATGGATTATTCCAGTCTTAGTCAAGTGTGTTCACTTAGGAGTAAGAAGTGGCATGTGGCATGGCAATTCAGGCAGACTAAACGATAGGGGGTTTGTCTCAGAGAAGATGAATGTTCCCTTCTAACCACCCTAAATCTAAGTGCCCTGGTAGGAAAGGCTTACCAGAATCTTGGAGGTATAAGCACTGTTGATAGAAATGCCATTGACAATCAACTCCAGGACCCTGGGCAGGAAGATATCAGGGCTTGGGATCTGACGGTAATGGGTGCCCCCAATATAAGCTTGTACCACAGTCATGCGGTTCATGGTCAACGTGCCTGTCTTATCAGAGCAAATAGCCGTGGCATTGCCCATCGTCTCACAAGCATCCAAGTGTCGTACCAGGTTATTGTCTTTCATCATTTTCTACAAAGGAGAGGAAAAAAGACTTGAAAGAAACCAACTGGGCTCTCCCGAATATAGGTCATGAGTCATTTCCTAGCCCAAATCTCTCTACATTTCATTCTCCAGTCTCATGCTAAAATGCAAGATACACTTTTTGTCAAATTCTTAAGATTCTGTTGGGCTACTTAAACATTGATGCATCTCAGTGAGATGACTCTTCCATAGTGCCAGGGACTTCTGCTCTTGTGAGGCACCACCCAAAGCTCACAGCAGATAGAATGGCTTACCCTTTCACTGAAGACTGAATGATACCCTCCCCTCCTATCTGTCGTAAAGGAAGAGATAGTATTGTTTCAGTCTCACCTTCACAGAATAGGCCAGTGAGATGGTGACAGCCAGTGGCAGTCCCTCTGGCACAGCCACCACCAGTACCGTGACGCCAATGATGAAGAACTTGACCAGGTACTGGATGTAGATGGGAGTACACTCAGATAGCCATGTTCTGCCTTGTATCACAAAGTTGTCAATCACAAAGTATAAAATTAGAATGAAAACGGTGATCGTGGACATGATCAGACCTGCACAAGGAAACAAATCACATGAACCGAGGCTGAGGGCATTCCTAGGGTCCCAGTCAGAGATAGATTGGTACAAGTTATAGACTTTGCTACCAATTTTTAAAACCACCATCTCTAGGAAGACATGTTAAAACCCCTTCCCCATTCTTTGCTACACATACAGACACTGGGTTTACATTCCAAAGATACGAGTTCTAGTCTCAGCACTGCACTAACTTAATTTGTGGCTTTGCATAAGTTGTTAACCCTCTCTAGGCCTGTTTCCGAAATCAAATTTCTCATCCACAAATACAGGGATTCATCTGTTTTCTGAAACAGCATTCTATTATTCTATCCCAAACCTACCCTCTCCCCACAATTCATAAGGTTGTGATTGTACTAGTCCATTTCCTAGTAGTTTATCAATTTTGACTTCGCCCCTACTAGCCTGTGAATGTGGGACAATTCAGTTTGTTTACAGCAATGCCCTCATAGTGCTAGCCATCACCTGTACGATTGACCCTTAGAACAAGGCTTTCCTGGCTCAGTGCCTGTAGCTAAGTGGTTAGGGCACTGGCCATATGCGTCAGGGTTGGTGGTTCGAACCCAGCCTGGGCCTGCTAAACAACAATGACAACTACAACAAAAAAATACCCGGGTGTTGTGGTGGGTACCTATAGTCCCAGCTATTTGGGAGGCTGAGGCAAGAAAATCGCTTAAGCCCAAGAGTTTGATGTTGCTGTGAGCTGTGACATCACAGCACTCTACCAAGGGCACCATGGTAAGACTTCTATCTCAAAGAAAAAAAAATAGGGCCTTTCAATATTTCCCTCATTATGGCACACATGGAACAGTAACGGCAAACATATGCTGTCTGCTGTGGGCCAGACAATTGTTTCACAACAACCTATGAAATACATTACTATTATGGTCTTATTTATTTGTTTATTTATTTTGAAGACAGAATTTCACTTTGTCTCCCTGGGTAGAGTGCCATGGCAGCAGAGCTCATAGCAACCTCTAGCTCTTGGGCTCAAGTGATCTTCTTGCTTCAGTTTTTCTATTCTTAGTAGAGACAGGGTCTCACCTTTGCTCAGTCTGGTCTCAAACTCATGAGCTCAAGCAATCCATCTGCCATGGCCTCCCAGAGTGCTGGGATTATAGGAGTGAGCCACCAAGCTCAACTGGGACTTGCTCTTGCTCAGGCTGGTCTTGAACTCCTGAGCTCAAGCAATTCACCCATCTCGGCCTCCTGGAGAGCTAGGATTATAGGCGTAAGCCACTGCACCTGGCCCATGGTCCTCTTCTTAAAGATGAGGAAACTAAGGCACCGAGAAGTTTTTGGTATGGCATCTTGGGAGGGTGACTGACCATTCTGATTTATCTAAAACTGAACAATTTCCTGAAATGTGGGACTTTCTAAAATCAAGGAAATCGGCCAGGCTCAGTGGCTCATGCCTGTAATCCTAGCACTCTGGGAGGCTGAGGCTGGAGGATCCCTTGAGCTCAGGAGTTCCAGACCAGTCTAAGCAAGAGCAAGACCCTGTCTCTACTCCAAATAGAAAAATTAGCTAGGGCTCGGTGTCCGTAGCACACGGGTTATGGCACCAGCCACATACACCTAGGGAGCCAGGTTCGAACCCAGCCCAGGCCAGCTAAATAACAATGACAACTGCAACAAAAAATAGCCAGGTGTTGTGGTGGGCACCTGTAGTCCCTGCTACCTGGGAGGCTGAAGCAAGAGAATTGCTTAAGCACAGGAGTTTGAGGCTGCTGTCAGCTATGATGCCATAGCACTCTACTGAGGGTGACATAGTGAGACTCTGTCTCAAAAAAAAAAAGAAGAAAAAAATCAGCCTACTTGGGAGGCTGAGGCAAGGGATTGATTGAGCCCAGGAGTTTGAGGTATATAGTTTATATACAAGACATTCAGAGTAGTTAAAATTAGCTAGGCACTAAAATAGAATGAAGAGGCTAGACCAACACAGCCCAATGGATCTTTCTGGGATGCATAAAACATTCTCTATTTGCACTGCCCAATATGGTAATATGGTTAATGTGACTGAGGAACTGAATTTTAAACTTTATTTAATTAATTTAAATTGCAATAGTCACATGTGGTGAGTGGCTGCTATAGTGGGCGGCTACCCAATGTGTGCTCAATAGATCAGTATCATGGCGTCATGTGGGGGCTTGTCAGAAATGTAGAATCAGGCTCCACCCCAGCCCTCTTGAAGTGAAGTTGCACTTTCTGAGAACCTCAGGTAAGCTATAAACAGATGTACTGATTATGGCAGGTAAACAAGAGGGTGAGGTCAGAAAATAAACAGCAGTAAAAGACCATACTTTGGAGGATAAGTCCACTGAAGGAGCAATCTTCCTTTTGTTCCCTCCTCTCCCTGCCCTGGGCCCCGTCCACTGAAAGAAGGTGGTGGGAGAGAGAATGTAGAGGTAAGTGATGGGGAAGTCACTTCCTCATATACAGAATGTACTTAGGGACATTTCCTTTGGGGAAAGCCTTTCTAACCATTGTCTTCCTCTTCCCTCCAGTTTCACTACCTCACCCTTGGTAGAGTGCCGTGGCATCACAGCTCACAGCAACCTCAAACACTTGGGCTTAAGTGATTCTCTTGCCTCAGCCTCCCGAGTAGCTGGGACTACAGGTGCCTGCCACAACGCCTAGTGATTTTTTTGTTGTTGTTGTGGTTGTCATTGTTGTTTAGCAGGACCAACCAGGTGGGAACCCACCAGTCCCGGTATGTGTGGCCAGTGCCCTAACCACTGAGCTATAGGCACCCAGCCCTTTATTTGATTTTTATTACTCTGTGTTTAGCCAGATGCTATTACTATCCTAGGGAATTGCCTTTAGCACACCACAGCCTTCTCCATCCTTGAGGAATTTATAAGCCAAAACATGAGACAGGTAAGCAGTTATCAAAGTCTTCCTTCTTCTCATGTAAATCTTCTTTGTGATATATGTTCTTGTTTTTTTTTTTTTTT